ATATATTTTTGGCCGTTATTGAAAATTTAGTCGATTGCTGAATTTATGTATGGGCCAAAATAATGGGCATTTAGGCCGACACTACATCCATTTCCCCTATACATAAAAATTAATTTCTGTCTGTCTGTCAGACCCTTATAGGCTCGGAAATTACTGAACTGATCGGCGTGAAAATTTGTATGCAGGGGTTTTTGGGGCCGTGAAAAGTTCTTATGATAGTTCGAGACCCCTCCCCCTTGTGGGGCTTCCATACAAATGAAACAGAATTTTCTGCATAACTATTCCATTAAATTTTCATTCATTTAGTTACAGGCGTAGCAACGCTTGCACAGGGTTCAGCTAGTATAAAATAAATGCATCTTCAACCCTTTTTTTCATTTGTAGCCGAAATTTTGAGTTTGCTCTCCTGACAGATTCATTGATTACACTAACGTAGACACATTATGCCTAAAGATCAGTCGATCAAGGATGTAAATAAACATGGCGTTTCGTTTATTTGCTTTACATCGCTTCAGAGCGGCAGCTACCTTGACCATAATCATAGGATTAAATTTGCGCGACCAAGTGTTGGAGCTTTATAATGGTTTGTTATGTAATTTAATATTGACCTTAAATATGTCATATCTGATCAGCTTATGCAAAATAAAAAATAAACAGTCATATGGACGACTTTTGCGCTTTGGAAAAAGAATACCTACATACCTCAATCATAAAAAAATTCCGCTATATGGAATATGCAGTTTTCTTTTAAGTCGGGCAGTGTTGAGTTTAATGATTTAAACTTTACACCCGAGCGCAAACTGAAATTTCCATAAAGTGGACCCTACACGATTGCTTTTATTGACCAAAATCGAATTGTCAATATATTATACATTGACATCAATACATCGATATTGGCAATATTTCTGTATTCACATCAATACTATTGTCAATAATTCCCTTTTCACGTCAATAAATTGATATGTGTGGGATTCGCTTAACGACTGGCAGCAGTCGCTTCGCGCCATCGGTGAAGAGATAAAAAGAGATACTTCTTTTTCTAAGAAAACGAGGCGCAACTGAATCATTTTTGCGTCGATTCAACTCTCAGCTTCAACTTTACACGTTGTGAATAGTCTCGCAATATCAAAGGAGATTTTAAAATCAATATCAAGCATGATTTTGCTCCAATATCACGATTGATATTGAGAGCATATGAGAGCAGCTAAAATATCAACTAGCTAGTGATTATGCCATCACTGAATTATCGGGTAAATATTTTATATTCAGAATTATTTTTAGATGCATGTAGTGCCTCGTGTGATGCAAGGTTGTAATTTGGTTGTATTTTTTATTTTTTAAAGTCCCAGAAAGTTTTTTTTACCAAAATAAAGTTTTTGAGTTAACACCAGATCTCAACGATTTATGCATTTTAAAGTCATTTGGCATAAAAAAAAATGTTCGATTTCCGAAATTTCAAGTAAACACCAACCAAAAACTTCTTTGTACGCTCTCTTGAGATAACTTGCAAGCCATGTCCTGAAAACGGTTGTTTTAAGGTATTACAAATATTTAAAGCTTGATTTATGCTCGAGATGCATAATAAATCATGAATCACAAATCTAATAAACAAACATTTTATTTAGCACACCTCTAAATCTCAATTAAATTCGGAGAAGACAAACATTGTTGCGAAAACTTTTTTAAATATGCAATTGTTCTAATCTTATAAGGTTATACATAGAATTTTGAAGTCGAATCCACATTCAACCACCTAAAGTTACGTTAAAAATAAGTAATTTCATATTAAATACTGAATAGTTAGTGAACTTACCTCAAAAGAATTGGCGGAAATCACACATAGTGGCGGTGCAGCTTGTATTTCAAATTCCTCCAGAAATTTAGGTTGGGCACCTTGCGTAGAATTGTTTACCAGGATGTTAATTCGATTCGTTATCATATTTCTGTCATCGAATGAGATCTCTTCTGCATATCCTGAATACAACTGTGTTACCTTAGTTTTGAAAAAATTCTGCAATTTCCCCCGATTTTCATCACTGAACAGCATTCGCACGAAATAGGAGTTTGTATTTTCATCCTCTATGGCTTGAGAAATAGTCTTGAACGTCAAATGAGGGTTGAAAGAGGTCATTTCATCCAGTCCGATAAGTTTATTAATTTTGTCAGCTGTTTTACCCCTCGCTCCCAAATAAAGCATGGATAGTAGAGATATTGCAGAAAATGGAGAAAATACAAAACTTTTCGACTGTTGAAACTCTGCAATCGATCTTATTGATCTGTACATGTCCATACCGATTTTATTACAAAGTTTGAAAAAATTGTTCAATTCCTTAGTTTCATCCGGATCATTTTCGTTAGATTCCTCAAGATAATCTTCCTCATTTTCACTATTCAACAACATATCGGTGGAACTCAGTTGATCAGTTGATGATGTATTTCTGCGTGCTTCAGATTCGCCAAGTTTTTGGAAAAGATCATTAGTGATTCTATTTGCAGCCTCTTCCGTTGAAGCCGAAAGAATTTCTTGTTTGAGATTGTTAGTGATCGATAGGAATGACTGAAACACATCATCTTCTGATGTTTCGGCATTAATTGGTTGAGTCTTTTTCAAAGGTGCATGGCTTAAAATAGATGCAACTGTAGCTGTTTCATCCACATAGTTCACCATGTTCTTGTTTGTAGCCGATAACAGATCAAACAAATTATCTACGTTGGCATTTCCCAAACTGTTTGCATGGGCTACGGTATTGGCTTGACGAAGAATCATATCCGCAATGGAGACAAACTCATTCGATGATGGTTTATGCAAATCTGCCATAGTAGGCTGTTCGGACATTAACGGTACTTTGCCCAGCTGGTTAGCTGGCCTTGCTGTGGACACTCGATGCGTTGAGGTTGTAGTTTTGGGCGATGTTGGCATAGCCACAGTTATTGACTTTAAAGTTGTGGTGTGGTACTTGACATCATCCATGGTCGAGAAAGAAGATTCTTCTGATGATGTTGATGCATCGAATGAATCAGGCAAGTTAGTATAAAGCTCATGTGATGTAGTAAACTGGTCTGCCTTTGTAGGTGTATCAGTAGTAACCTGCGTAGTAGTCAGTTCCAATGGAATAGTAGAATATTCTTCTTCATCATATTCTTCTCCTTCTGCCATTTCTTGTGAATCAGTGATTTCATTATCCTTTACATGTTGATAAATATTTAATTCTTCTTTTCTGTTATCGTCTTTCAACAGTTCCATAATCATGTAGAATGCATTTTGGGTGTCACTGGTGAGAGTGGTTGGCTCCTCTAATAGTTGTTGATTGATTTTAGAATTTGTAGTTTGAGGTACTGTAAGAGTGGTTGATTCTTGATCATGTGTAGTTTCAGCCAAAGAACTATAAAACTCAGTATAAACTATACTATCCGTACTATATGCATTGTTGTCTCCAGTAGACATATTATTTTGATTGTTCAAACTATATTCCTCTGTTGTAGTAGTACTTTCGAGCACCGTTGTTGCATCGAAATTATGTATCTGTTGTGTAACCAATTTATTTTGCAAATCAATTATTGTTGAATACTGTTCTGGCTCATCATCAACCGTGCTGATTAACGTAGTTGCTGGTATTTGAGTAGATGTTTCGCTACTAGGACTGATGTTTAAAGCTGTTGCTGGTATTTGAGTAGAATTTTCGCTACTTGGACTGCTGATAAACGTAGTTGCCGGCATTTGAGTAGAAGTTTCGCTACTTGGACTACTGATTAACGTAGTTGTTGGCATTTGAGTGGAAGTTTCGCTACTGGGACTGCTGATTAACATAGTTGCCGGCATTTGAGTAGAAGCTCCGCTACTTGGATTGTTGATTAACATAGTAGTTGGTATTTCAGTTGACGTTCCACTACTGGCACTGCTGATTAACGTAGCTGATGGTGTTTCAGTAGATGCTTCGCTATTTGGAGTCATAATATGATATGAATATTCCTCACCTGCCAATGTACTTTGAACAGTGGACATGGTTATTCTTTCATCCGCCTGATACGTAGTACTTTCCGTAGCTTTTTCGGTCAATTCCGGCAGATTGTTGGATATGAGTAACATCAATTTGCTTTCAGTTGTGAATTCGTCCGCCTGGTATGATGTATTTTCTGTTGCTTTTTCATTTTCAGTTGTATTTTCTTCCGGTTGAAGTGGTGTACTTTCATGGGCCTTTTCAGTGGCCTCCGGTAGATTGTTGTTCAATATTAGCCACTGGAGCATATTTTCAATTTTATTTTCATCTGTCTGTTGTGGGGTACTCTCTGTAGCCTGTTCAGAGTACATTTCAGTCGACTTCGTCTGGTGGCTGATCAACGTTGTTATACCGATGTTAGGATCATTTTCAACATCACAGTTATTATGACATTTCGTAGCGGAGTCAGAAAGATTTTCTTGATTTTCGTGATGACTAGAAAGTTCAACTAAATTCAGGATGGTTGGAACATATTCATTTTTATTTTCAGATGATTCGCTTGATGTAACTTCGGCTATATTTCCGTTTGCATTGTTGTCCGGATGATGGTTTTCGTGAGTTTTGGACAGCAGCTCTGTGTTCAAAACATTCTTTATGCTGCTAACTATGTTGGTTATTATGCCATGAGGCGAATCAAGCTTGTCAAACACATTTTGTCTAACATTATTACCAGCAACTATACTTTGAATTTCCTTCGATGTCATCAATCGTTTTATGATATTTCCTTGATTATTGATGGTGAAGTATTCGTATTTGTCAGGATTAAGTAAATTTATCGGGCTCACTAGGTGCTGATGAGGTGAATGAAATTGAATGTGTCCAGGAGAATATCTGCAACGTAAATTTAGAATTAATTATAATGTCTTAACTTATTAATTTGCGACACGTTCATTTCTAATAAGATTTGTTAGTACCTTTAATTATTAATTTTAGAGACATAGAGTACACACTGCAATGTGCACGTTTCTCTATAGATATATCCATAGAATAAAGTTAGTTATATTAATTTTGTCATAGTAAGACTCAACAAGCTTCATATCGTGGGGGATATTCCTACAAACAAAATGGATAAAATGAAAAGGTCAGGCTCTAAAAACAATGTTCCTCATTTTGTCATTTCGCACCACAGTGCACAGTGGTTCAGAAATCCAATCTAGCGGAACAGCATTAATAACTCTAAAACGAAGCACTTCCGTAACTTGGTGTCTTAGCTTATTATAATGAGGACCATCTATTTCCATACACAGATAGTATAAAACTCAACCGCGTAGACACCACCGCTTACCTTTTCCGCGTGTTTTGGACATCATCAAATATTAGTGAATAAATTAATTTCTCATTATTTTTCGATATTTTCATTATTAACTATGTCACGTTATATTTTTTCCAGATTTAAATACGCATAGTGCACAGATATCCAGAATTTTTACCGGCTTTGTAGTGTTGGGTAAGATGCGCCAACGCGTGATTGGTTGGCAGTCGATCAACGCGAGGATGTGCAAGTTGAGGATTAAGTGCCGTTTCTTCAACTACAACATCATTAACGTGCACTGCCCAGACGAGGGAGACCCGACGACGAGAAAGAAGCGTTTTATGCGCAGCTGGAGCAGGTGTATGACGGCTGTTCGCAACGGGCATGCCGTATCGAACGGCAACGGCCAACGATGCGTGAACTTTGCAGCCTCTCGGGGTATGGTAGTTCGAAGTACCTTTGTCCCCCGCAAGGATGTCCACAAAGCCACCTGAAGATCACCTGACCAACACACAGAAAACCAAATCGACCACGTTCTAATCGACGGGAAATTCTTCTCCGACATTATCAACGTCCGCACGTACCGTAGTGCGAATATAGATTCGGACCACCACCATTGAGCAATTACGAGACGCCGGAGTTGCCCAGGACTACGCGCAGCAGCTGGAAGTTGCACTACCCACGGAAGAGCAGCTTGGCGCAGCTTCTCTTGAAGATGGCTGGAGGGACATCCGTTCCGCCATAGGTAGTACTGATGCAGCGGCACTAGGTACTGCGATCCCGAACCGAAGAAATGACTGGTTTGACGGCGAATGCAAACTGTTAGTAGAGGAGAAGAATGCAGCACGGTCGAGAATGCTGCAACCTCGCACGAGATTGAATGTGGAGTGATACAGACAAGCGCGGAACAAACAAAACTCGGGTTTCCGAAGGAAGAAGCGTCAGCTGGAAGACCGAGATCGCGAGGCGATGGAAAATCTGTACCGCGTAAACGACACACGGAAGTTCTACGATAAGCTAAATAGTTTGCGCAAAGGCTACGTGCCGCTTGACGATATGTGCAAGGACTTGGACGGTAACCTTCTCACGAACGAGTGTGAGGTGATTGGGAGGTTGAAGCAGTACTATGACGAGCACCTCAACGGCGAAGCAGCGGAAAACGAAGGTGGCACGACAACAGACCTTGGAGCACGCGCAGAAGACGACAGGCTACCGATTTTCAAAAAGTTGAGGAGGAGATCGGTCGGCTGAAGAACAACAAAGCAACTGGTGTAGATTAACTACCAAGTGAGCTATTAAAATACGGTGGTGAAGCACTGGCTAGAGCGCTGCACTGGGTAATTGCCAAGATTTGGGAGGAGGAGATATTACCGGAGGAGTGGATGGAAGGTGTCGTATGCCCAAAAAGGGCGACAAGTTGGATTGCTGCAACTACACACTGCTGAGTGCCGCCTACAAGGTACTCTCCCAAATTCTATGCCACCACCTGTCACCATTTGCAAGAGAGTTCGTGGGGCGATTCCAGGCGGGATTCATGGGTGCCCGCGCTACCATGGACCAAATTTTCCCGATTCAGCAGGTTCTGCAGAAATGCCACGAATACAACGTGCCCACACATCATTTGTTCATCGATTTCAAATCCGCATACGACACAATCGATCGAAGCTATGGCAGATTATGCACGAGTACGGATTTCCAGATAAACTGACGCGATTGGTCAAGGCGATGGATTGAGTGTGTGCGTTGTTCGAATATCGGGGACGCCCTCGAGTCCCTTTGAATCTCGAAGGGGGTTACGGCAAGGTGATGAACTTTCGTGTCTGGAATTCAACATCGTATTAGAAGGTGTGATCAGAAAAACAGGGATAGACGCGAGTGGCACGATCTTCAGGAAGTCCATCGAGCTTCTTGGCTTCGTCGATGACATTAACATCATTTAACGGAACTTTGAGACGGTGGCGGAAACGTACATCAGACTGAAGGCTGAAGCTAGGCGGATTGGACTTGCCATCAACGCATCAAAGACAAAATACATGAAAGGAAGATGTTCTAGGAAAGACAATGTTAGCCTCCCACCCCGAGTTCAGATTGACGGTGATGAAATCGAGGTGGTCGATGAGTTCGTGTATTTGGGCTCACTGGTGACCGCCGAAAATGATACCAGCAGAGAAATTCAAAGACGCATTATGGCAGGGAATCATGCCTACTTTGGACTCCGGAATAAAATTCGCCGCCGCACGAACTTGACTGTCTACAAAACGCTGATTCTCTACGGTCACGAGACCTAGACTATGCTCCTGGAGCGCCCTTGGTATTTTCGAACGGAAGGTGTTGCGTACCATCTAGTGTTGGAATGCAGATGGATGACGGAACGTGCAGGAGGCGAATGAACTACGAATTGCACCAGCTGCTGGGAGAACTATCCATCGTCCACATTGCAAAAATTTGGCGACTACGGTGGGCTGGGCACATCGTAAGTATGCCGCACGACGACGCAGTTAAAATGGTTCTAGAAAGTGACCGAACAGGAACAATAAGAAGAGAGCAAGGTGAATCGACCAAGTACACGGACAGAAAATTGTTTGCAGTGAACCAAAGTAAACTTAAGTTGTATTTAAACAAACAATTCCTGTGGGGGACGACCCCGGCGTAGTGGTTAACATCCATACCTCTCACGCCAAAGTCACGAGTTCAAATCTCACCTCCGGACAAGTCACGAATAACCCAAGAGTGTTAAAATGACTATAATAAAAAAAAAAAAATAAAAAAACAAACAAACAATTCCGGTTGAAATTATGTTGCATTTTGTTGTTTCAATAATACTTATTCATATAAATTCAAAAAAGGATTCTTTTTGTTTTAATAAGCCACTTTTCAACTGTAACTATTGTAAAAATAACAATATTCTATTATTAAGCCAACAATAGGTAATTTTAAATTAGCATTTATTTGCTGTGTCCATTCCCCGGGCCATGAATGCAAAAATAACTACCAACCATTCCCTCGTTTTCACTCGGACAAAAATTTAAACAATAACAAAACTTGGAATTTCGGGAAATAAGTGCAAGATTTCCGAAAATCTTGAGACTTGAGGTAAGTAGGTATATGATTTAGAATTCCTCTTATTCTTGAAAGTAGGAGGAGCCAAGCTACAATTTACATACCTGTTTCTTATATCAATTCGGTTTTTTGAGTTTTCACTTATGTTCAGCGGTAAACATTGCAGAAGCAAAACAACAAATAATGTATAACGCAGCATGTCTGAAATGAAATAAAATAAAATAATATGAGATACTTGTATATATGTTCAGATTATTGATGTTTATTTTATTATAATTATTATTATTATTATTATTATACTATAGCACCGTTCATGCTGTAGTTAGTGTGATGATGAGGCAACCTTAACATAGCGTTATTTCGAACTCCGGACGAAGCTAGAACAGCACTACCGTTCATACTGGCGACAACGCTCTGATGAGACAACGAAACCCTACCCCAAGCTCCTCCCCTGATCCTATCCTTCGAAAATGTACCCTTCTAACCTCGAGTAAGCCGCGAGTAATCGGCCCAACTCCTACTAGACATAGAATTAAGTGAATTTTGTTACACACAGTGAACAATGAATTATCGGCTCCGTAAAGCTAACGCGATTGAGCCTTCCAAATAAACGAACTAGATAAAAAAAAAAATAGCGTTATTTCGCAGCGCTCAGGGTCAAACGTTCAGGTTGATCTTCTTCAGTATTATACAGCAATCAATTCTGCCCTGCAAACTATCCGTGATGAGCAGGTCCCACGAAGTATCTCTCCGAATACGTAGAGGCTCCAGAGCAATCAGTTGACATGGACTTTCATAACTGGGTTACTACAAAGCAGCTTCCGTGGAGCGAATCGATGATAACGATATTGAACAACTCTTTCAACACCATTGTTATGATTCGGGTTCCATACTGCAGAGCAGAACTCCAGGGTGGCGATTTTAAGGCAATGGATATCAGAAAAAAATGTATTCCTGTAAATGAATCCCAAGTTCTTGACTGGGAATCGATAATGACTAAAAGATCTTTTACGTGGTTGACACGGGATAATTGTTTCCTGAAGAACATAATTGAACATGATCGATTCCTTCTTGCAATGGATGCTGATTACTGAACACTTCGCGGGATTAACATCCATTCGGTTCAAGTTGCATCAGTTAGGAAACGCTTCGAACTGGCATTGAAGGAAGTGACAACCATCGATAAAACGGATCCGGATATAAATGTTAAGATCATCGGCCTATGATTGTCAAGCGCCTTCGAGTTCCAGCTTCACGTCGTTGTAATAAAACAGAAAAATGGCCTAGGTGACTTCCTTCCTGATAGCACACTAACAATACTAAACATAATTAAAATATCGATGTTATTTTATTCATGATCAGGGCATGAATTAGAATCGATTCTCAACCAATAAAGAATAACGTCATCAAAGGGGGGAGGGGGGAGGGTATTTTTCCTCAATTTAGCGAGACATAATAAATGGATCGCCCCTAATAGGAAAAGTGCTTTTGATTTTTTTCAATGTTACTCGTGAACATGCACCTTAGTATAACTATTAATTCCACCGATTCCATGAGCAGATATTTTAAAGACTATCGAAGCATATAAATATCGAGAGTTTTAATCCATTGACATATACGAAGCTTGCTCTTAACGCACAGACTGATAGTTTGCTAATGGGATTTTTTTTATTATGTGAATTAACAGTTCACTATGTTTCACGCACTAACTGCTAGTGGCTTTTGACATTTATCCACAAAAGTAAAGAGTTACAGAAGATTCATAGGCGCGAATTGGAAATTCATTGCTGTGCGTATAGTAGCCCGAAAAAATCAATTCGATACCAACATTTCATTAGAGTAACAATGCTTTGTTGTTAACAATGACTTCGTCCGTCGATTTCTGGTAAATTAAAACTTACTCCTAACTAACCATACCAATTGGTAGAGAAAACATTATCCTACTTAGTAGTGTAGTTTGTATGTGTGAACTTTAATTTGTCAAAAATCTGCGGCCAATGGCATTGTTGAAAAAACAGTTTCACCCTATTGAAATATTACCGAAGAATGCTTATTACATTGTTCTATTAGTTGAATCGATATAGACACAAAACTTACCACCTGACGGACCCAATGGTCAAAATTTGTTTGTTGTTACTAGATACACACTTAGAATTTTACACCACACCAAACGAACCTTCTTTCTTAAGAACTGTTCAGTAAAATCTCCACATCTCGGTTTATTATGTTAAATGTTTCAAAACCATGATCAAAAGAAACGGATATTCCAACACGGCTAAAAGCTGTTTGAAATAATTATATCTATTTATAATTATGTTTGTTGTTCTTCTTCATGGCTATTACATTCAAACTGAAACATTTCATCTGCTCTCAATGTTCTTTGAGTACTTCTGCAGATTAAATTAAGCCTGTACATACTATTTTCAAATATTGTGTAGTTATGCCCCAGAAGCTCGAGAAATAATCTAAAAAATCGTTGACTAGACTGGAGATAGAACCTTCCACACTTCTGCTAAGAAGGCTATTGGTAGACCTCAGAAAATCTAAATAATCGTAGAAAATAACTACAATTGTAATCTTTACAACAATGAGATAATAAGATTTCTGCATAATTTTATACGGTACAGCAAGGCAACATTCATTGAAATCAAACACAATCTTTATAAATCTATATTGTCCCATAATTGGATCCACAACCTGATTATATCGCATGATTGATTATGGCTCAGGTCAAATTTTGGTCAAAACTTTCCGCATGATTCCCGAAACATCCTCAATATGACCAGTAACATGATGGGTGTATGGTCGATCACACTAGAACTGTTCCGGTCCTATCAAGACGAGCATTGCTAAAGGTCGAATTTTACGACACACACACAGGAAAGGTCTGTATTTACCTGCAAATTAATTACACATATGTGCAACAGTTATACTTTCGAAATGCTTTAAACGAAATTGAACACTTCAAATTAATCATAGTAATTTTCCAAATATCATCATCTATGCACAAGCATACATGATTGTTTTAGGTCATCATTCAAAAATATACCGCAGACAAATGTGAAATGATGTACCCATAAACAACATGAACAGTTTACCGTTATGAAATACTTGATACGAAAGCGCTGGCTCATTTACTTAATTTAAACACGTCTGGCTCGATCAAATAATTTTCGGTATCAACATAATTCCAACATCATATGTATCCATCTCGAGTCGCACATGTAAAACGCTTTGATAGTACTTCAAAATTACAACATATTAACGGAATAAAAGCCACACGTAAAGAACATCATCGATGGATCCTCATCACTTTTCTCAAACACTTTTGAACAGTGGCTAAGCTTGATGTTATCGTGATTCACTCAAATTTATGCTTCACATTTTGTATGCAAATTTACCTTTAGTTTGTGTTAGATTTTACAATTAAACATTTAATATGGTTCATAACTATTTGACTACTAATCAACTGCAGAAACATTGGAGGTAACCAAGTGAAAGAAATCTAGACCAGTAACAGATACTGTAAGCACCTCTCTCAATTGTTTGGCGTATAGAAATACATTTTGAGAGAGTCACGCGATCTTCTGCTCATTTCTTCGGCATGGTGCATCTTCAGAAAATGTTTCGGCCTTCCAAGTCCAGATGATATTGCAAACAGTGTTTTAATGTTTATGCAGTTAAAATTTACAGATATGATTTTGACTGATGGGAAAGATGGAATGTTTAGTAGAAAAATATTGATTATTGAACTGCTCACTACAAAACTGAGCAGGTTAGTTCCGAGAGAACATAACGTTGTGATGTATCCAAATTTTAAACGTTAACAACTTTTGTGAAAGTAGGTCAAACGGGAATAAGAAACATGATTCAATTACATTCAATACCACTTGACAGGATTTTGAATGCTACCATCCGTCAATAGTGCTTTTTCATAGCGCTAGTTCATTAATTTGGCTAGCAGCATTGCTAGATCTTTATTCAAACTAGCATTTCTGCAGAAAAGTCCTAAAATTAGGAATAAAATAGCTATGAAAAACCACATCGGGCGTTTTGCTCCGGGTGCGTTTTGCTCTGTTCTTCCCTACTGCTATATTTGAACGTGGTAGCAGCTTTAGTATCATTATGGTAAGTCGCTATAATGTACGTGAGCTGCATAACGCTATAATAAAGTTTTTTTTCTCCCTTAGTTCTATTTGTAGAACTACTATTTCATTTTTGTATCAATGCCATTTCAAAACCCATAATGTTCCCTTGTACAACAGTTATAATGCGTCTCCGAATGTCTCTGCTGCAGCTATTATCCGACGTCATCAAATCCGAGGTACACAAATTCATCCATCACCTGGAACTCTCTCCGTCGATTATCATACTTCTGCTTATGCGAGCTCTATCACGCTCGGTTCCAGCCAACAGTACTCTTCGGCATGTTCACCTTTAATCCAACATTTTCTGCTTCACGGTTCAGCCTGAAGTACTGTTTTGCAACCGGCTGGAGCGTTCTTCCGACGTCAGCGAAGCAGATGTACTGGCTGGATTTATTGAAGACAAAAAACCCGCACGTTTCATAGCACCTTCTAGCGCAATGTTGAACAGGAGACAGGAAAGACCATCGCCTTGTCGAAGTGCTTCGCGTGTTTCAATCGAGTCCGATAACAAAACCGATATTTTCACACAGTACCTACTGTACACCATCCATCGTAGCCTTGATCAGTCTGTCAGATTCCCGGTAAAATCGTTCTCGTCCATAATTTTACACGCCATTTTCGAAGCGGCGGATTAGTCAACTTTCACGTACTTCGGGTGTTTCTTCAGCAAAAGTTAGTTTGTGTGCTTCCATTACTTAATAGATTGATTTTAAAATATACTATCAAAGATTTTTTTTTCTTTGATTTGTTTTCCGTCGGTAGTTCTCACATTATATTTTGACACACTTTTTGAATATTGGACATATTACTCCCTCTTTCCACTCCTCCGGTAGCTGTTCTGTGTAGGCAGTACATACTAGTAGCCAACTTATCCGGATCTATTTTAATAAGTTCAACTCCGATACCATCCTTCTCAGCTGCCTTGTTGTTCTTAAGCTTTTTGATAGCATCCTCAACTTAATTTATCGTGGGAGTAGGTATATTTCCACCTCTGCGCCATTAAGACGTTCATCGTAGTGCTGCGTCTAACCTTCAATCACCTCACATTCTTTCGTCAAGGTACCTCCATATTTACCCCGACACATTTCGGCTCGCGGCACAAAACCTTTGCAGGATGCGTTGTGGCTGAGCTCTATTTCTTCACACTCCAACCACAGACAAACAGACGTAACTCTTTGAAAAACTTGTTCTTGAAAACATAGTATCTCAAAACATATAACCTCAGTAACGACATCTATCTGGCTTCTCGCGGAAAACAAACTTGCTCGCTAACTCGTAAACAATATTGCATAAAATGTCTATAGAATATATAGAATCGTCAAAGTGATCCGATGCCAGCGCTGCGGCGAATAGTTCGCGGAACTGATAATATTCAAATCAACCGTTAAATGCATGAACGAAGATACACAATGAAGAGTTACGTCTGTTTGTCTGTGCTCCAACTCTTCCAGGCGGTGCTTCTTATCCCAAAAAGGATGGTTTTGCCGGTAAAGATTGTATTGCTCCACATTTTGACGGATCCCTTGCTACAGTATCAACGCCTGCGCTGCGTTCTTCTCGTCTAATACCATCTAACACTCCTCGGCGGACCATTCGTTCCATCGATTTCTCTTCACAATCCCAATGACGCCTTCTGCTGCGTTGTTGATAGCTGCTTTGGCACTACTCCAGCAGTCCTCAAGAGGGGCTTCGATCAGCTCTTCTTCATCCGGCAACGTGCATCAAGTTTTTGCGCATAATCAGTTGCAACTTTGGGTAGTGGTCCGAATCGATGTCTGACGTCGAGTATATCCGAAAAAGGCCTTCCATCAATCAAAACGTGGTCGATTTGCGATTCCGTATTGAGGAGATCTCCAGGTGTACCTACATGGGAGGCTGTACTCGAAGTAGGTATTATGTATGGCAATGTTCTTGGAGGTGGCGGAATCTATTAATCTATCTGAGGCCGTTCTGGCCGTTTTCTTTCGTAAGCTGGTGTGAACTATCGATCAAAATTCCACCTCCTGGCCAACCTGAGCATTGAGATCTCCGATAATGATGTTGACGTCATGGCTTGGGCAGCTGTCGTATTCTCGTTCCAGCTGCGCGTAAAAAGCGTTTTTATAGTCATCGTCACTTCCTAGGTGAGGGCTGTGCACGTTGATTATGCTGAAATTGAAGAAACGGCCTGTGATCCACAACCGCCCAATAACGCGCTTTTGAATTTCATCCATCTCGATAAAAGCTGTACGCAGTCGCGTGTATTGCCGCAGCTCTGGTAGATGGTATATTTGTTTCGACAAATTTTGTTGCTGTGTACTACATCTTCGAGACCGTTTGCCAGGATTTAATAACCATAGCTTGCCAACGGCGAACACACTTAATCTAGCTCGGTAAAATTTCCAACAGCCGATTACCTCGGCATTTACTTTTGCTATATCTCTGCAAAATATCTGTTTGTTAGCTGATATCTCAGCAAAATTTTATTGGTTAGCTGAGTCTCGGCAATTGTTTGGCTGAATCTCAGTAAAATAAATTGCAGAATTACTCGGCTATTGGAAGTGTGTGGGTGGTACCATCTAGCCACCGCTGTTTCTTGGCTGTCCTTCAACCAAATACGTTGATTTTTTGTATGTGATTAGTGTCAATCATAAATTAGTTATCTTCAGAAAATCAGCTCAATTGCTTGAAGAACAGCCAAGAAATAGCGGGGGAGGACGGTACCGCCCATTCCATAAATTGATTGGATTATAATGTAATATGGGCTGTCTTGCAATGAGCACGCATACATAGGATTTCCAGTGAAAACTAGAGGTATGAGAGCTCATTGCAATACAGTCTATATTACATGATATAAGCCACGGGGTATTAAGAAGAGTTGTTTATTTTTGAGCAGTTTCGAATGCCTTTGGATACGGTTGTGTTTTAAGTTTGTTCTCTGTTTTGTGCGGGCGTTCGCATTCATAGTTTTTGGCTGCATTTGCCGGATTAGCGCTGGCATTCTGCCTCCCGGACGGTTATACGTGTGTGATTTGTGGTTTTCTCGCTTTCCGAGAAGTTTTAGAATCGAGAAAGAAAACATGATTCATCATGTTTGCAAGCAACAGAAGATTTGACGCTATCTGCGTTGTTTGATTTTTTACTCCCGGACCAGAAATTTGTGGCATCGCGAGTGATAATTTTAACACAGACAAACAGACATAACTCTCGCAAGTTGTTCATCGAACAAGCATTTAACAGTCAATTTAGAAGTATGGTTGTTGGTAGTACCGCCACATGTGGCGCGCATAGTCAATTCCCTTGCGTTTGACGTTTACACACTACCACCATCTGTTCAGCGTACTACCCACCACAATGTACTCAACAGATGGCGGTAATGTTTTAGCAACGATGGTTTACAGTGAGAAATATTCAATGTGTTATATCTGTTTGTCTGTGATTTTAATTTTAGTTTATTTACGCGGTGGTTCACTCGCAACTATTTTTGAGAAAAATTAAGTGTGTTCGATCGAAAGTGTACCAAAAGTGCTCCTGAACGTGTTTCGCAGTTGGATGTGGTGAAATTCGTGCATTCCGGGTTTATTGTGAAAATTCCGTATCACAAAATTGCCCACCGATTCCTTTTTTGCCGTTCGACGATAACGGATGTGCTTTCGCGAGAGTGACGTTTATTGAATCCGTTTCTTTGCACGGATGTTTTTTTTTTTGTAACACTTCAAATTGGTTCTACATAGAACGGAACTAGTTTATGTCGATCCCCATCAAGCGAACCGCCTTTGATTGGAACTACAATGCAACAGTAGCACGGATGCTTCCTGTGGATTCATTTGGACTAACTTGGTGAGATCTTATCTGATTTTCTCCGCACATCCCATTTTTTGTGTATTTGAAATCATCATTGAACGCCAAATGTCTGCACATTTTTGAACATGTGGTGGAACATTACTGTAAATCATATATTTTAACACATTATATAATATATTGGGTTGAGGATGGGCAGCCTAAGGGAATCAAAGGATTTATTGACTGGACGAGGGTTCGTGGATTTGCCAGTCCCTTGTCAGGTGATTACAGATGGCCATCTGTTTGTTTTGTCTTCCAAAGGTCTTC